ATCCTATTTGAGATAAAATTCAACAAAGATACGAAGTCCAGCAGGCATTATCTGGGAAGTATGGAGAATGCCCTAATATCCTTCTGTCCTAATACCTACATATTGAACTAATTGCTGATGATATTGCAGATCATGCCAGATTTGTGACATGATGTGTTGTCCTATTCAAACATGTTTGAATATTTGGCTCTATTTGGTCGCTTTTTTCTGAATTGCTTTACGTAGATGAACTGAAAGCTTAGTGTCTCATGTCTTGTTTAATGCATCATGCAGCGTTCATGTTTTCAGGATTTATAATGATTTCACACTTATGAGAAGAGGACATTAACAGCAGTTATTGTTAAAACAGACATTTGTAGAATTACTTAACCTTGTAACCTTGGGTTTCGATCATTTGTTCAAAATAAACCCAATTTTAAACTTCACAAAGGATAGGTATCGATATGGTGAACTGAATTCAACAATGTTTTTCTTTTAAACCAATTATTGAAAACATTCTGTAAAAAACACAGTCTTTTATGTAATGTTGACTGATTGGCAATTTAATGCAAAATTATCTATATATATTTTGATATAACTGTTTTTGTTAACACTTTTGTTTTTTAGTGCAATTGTTTTTTGTTCCTTTCCACCCATTCTTTAGAATGAAATAAACTCGTCTTTCCGAACCTTGTTGGAACAAAATAGCATATACAACATTTTCTTAGACCTCTCAATATTACAGTTATACAAAGGAAATTTTGGTTGATTTTACAAAAAGTATGCTAAAACTTAAAACAACCCCCCCCCCAAAGTAGATAAAAATTAAGATAAAGATTTTATTTCATTAACAAGATACTTTTTTAAAATCAACCAAACTTTCCTTTGCACAATTACAATATTGAGAGACCTAAACACCTTGTCTTTATGTCGTTTTGTTCCAATGAGGTTTGGATAGATGTTTCATTTCATTCCGAACATATGATACCAAGAACAAAAGAAGTGTCTCATTTGTTTTCTAAAACAATAAAGAGAATTTCAAATTATAATGCTACCATCTAAAAGATGACCATTAAATTGACGATGTGTAAAATTTTCAGAATGTTTTGATAACTGCTTTAAGAGAAATGCGTGTTCAAAAAGTTCACCATATCGATACCACTCCTTTTACCCTGTCTCACTATAGCGTTACTAAGGTTGCCATAGCAACCATAACTTCAGAAATATTCATTACCAGCATCTAAGCATCTTTTTTATATGCTATGAGGGAATAAATGACCCAGCTATTCTGAAAATATTGTGGAAAACGGATGATAAACTATTAAGTTAGAGCATTTTTATCAGAACTTCTGGATCGGCCTAGTATTATCTGCATTTCTTACATATTTTCAGTCATATCTAGGTTCAATATTATACTTACGTGACAACAATAACAATTAAGTCACATATTTCCATCATCCATAATTAAGACCCAACTGATAGCCTACAATAAACTACAGGATATCTACATAATTGGCAAATTGAATTAAAGAAATATGTCTGTCTTACCTTATCATACAGCTAGTACTGCATTTCCTATTAATCATTTTTTTCTCTCAGATGCAAAGATTCTAAATCTCTCATAATGTTATTTTTCAATATATCATGGATTTAAAAGAGGCGTCGGGGTATTTTTCAATACATCATGGATTTAAAGAGGCATAAGGTTATTTTCAATATATCATGGATTTAAAGATGCGTAAGATTATCTTTCAATGTATCATGGCTTTAAAGAGGCATAAGATTATCTTTCAATGTATCATGGCTTTAAAGAGGCATGAGGTTATTTTTCAATACATCATGGATTTAAAGAGGCATAAGGTTATCTTTCAATATATCATAGATTTAAAGAGGCATAAGGTTATTTTCAATATTTCATGGATTTAAAGAGGCATAAGATTATCTTTCAATGTATCATGGCTTTAAAGAGGCATAAGGTTGTTTTCAATATTTCATGGATTTAAAGAGGCATAAGATTATCGTTCAATAAATCATGGAGTTAAAGAGGCATGAGGTTATTTTTCAATACATCATGGATTTAAAGAGGCATAAGGTTATTTTCAATATTTCATGGATTTAAAGAGGCATAAGATTATCTTTCAATACATCATGGATTTAAAGAGGCAAAAGGTTATCTTTCAATATATCATAGATTTAAAGAGGCATAAGATTATCTTTCAATGTATCATGGCTTTAAAGAGGCATAAGATTATTTTTCAATATATCATGGATTTAAAAGAGGCATAAAGTTATTTTTCGATATATTATGGATTTAAAGAGACATAAGGTTATCTTTCAGTATTACATACCTAGCGAAGCATTTGTATGGAAGTCATTGCAGCTGAAGGTCGGCTATATATTCCTGTATAGCCGCAAAACATTTTTATGGCGGCTATACAACAATTATGTCCCTATCATTGAATATATGCCTTCGGCCTGTCGTTATATAGCCCTTGCAAGCTCAGGCTATATTGATGACAGACCTCAGGCATATATTCAATGATAGGGACATAACAGCTAAATTATATCATGGATTCAAAGAGGCATGAGATTATTTTTCAATACATCATGGATTTAAAGAGGCATTAAGTTATCTTTCAATATATCATGGATTTAAAAGAGGCATTAAAGGTTATTTTTCAATGCATCATGGATTTAAAGAGGCATAAGGTTATCGTTCAATAAATCATGGATTTAAAGAGGCATGAGGTTATTTTTCAATACATCATGGATTTAAAGAGGCATTAGATTATTTTTCAATATATCATGGATTTAAAGAGGCATAAGGTTATCTTTCAATATATCATCGCTTTAAAGAGGCATAAGATTATCTTTCAATGTATCATGGCTTTAAAGAGGCATGAGGTTATTTTTCAATACATCATGGATTTAAAGAGGCATTAGATTATTTTTCAATGTATCATGGATTTAAAGAGGCATAAGGTTATCTTTCAATATATCATGGATTTAAAGAGGCATAAGGTTATCTTTCAATATATCATGGCTTTAAAGAGGCATAAGATTATCTTTCAATGTATCATGGCTTTAAAGAGGCATGAGGTTATTTTTCAATACATCATGGATTTAAAGAGGCATTAGATTATTTTTCAATACATCATGGCTTTAAAGAGGCATAAGGTTATCTTTCAATATATCATGGATTTAAAGAGGCATAAGGTTATCTTTCAATATATCATGGCTTTAAAGAGGCATAAGATTATCTTTCAATGTATCATGGCTTTAAAGAGGCATGAGGTTATTTTTCAATACATCATGGATTTAAAGAGGCATTAGATTATTTTTCAATATATCATGGATTTAAAGAGGCATAAGGTTATCTTTCAATATTTCATGGATTTAAAGAGGCATACGATTATCTTTCAATATATCAAGGATTAAAAGAGGCATCACAATATTTTTCAATATCAATACAACACAGATTTAGAAATGCATAAGGTTTTTCCAATGCATTATCGATTTAAAGAGGTATATGCAGATCTACATATTTACATTTGCTTTAAAACCTAACTCATTGATATTATATATTAGATTCATACCGACAGTTAAAGTTGCTTTTGTGTGTTTTTATTCTCAAGGAAGATATTGGAAATGGATACAATACTAGTAAGTAAATTTCTTCGAGAAAACAAATTATTTGTAAAAAAGAACATAAACCTGTGTATAAATATACAAATCAGCCATTTGTGACAATAATTGACTTGACCCAAAGGAAATAATAATCATATGTGATTTATGATATTGAAGCAACTCACTTAACTTTTCACAGCAATCAAGTGCCAAAATGGAGATGCAATCGGTCATGCTCTGCACACCTGTCCAGAAGATTGAAAAATCAGGTATTTTGTGTTCATTCGTTGTCAGAGATTACTCTGTATCTATAGGAATAGAAATTGACCAGTTTTAGTCCAGATTTAGTTTGTTCAGGTAATCTGACTCTAAATACATTTGAATATGAATACAGAGTAATCTCTTCATCATCAAAAGGATGCTTTTTCTAACATGTCCAATACCTGGTTTTGTAAATTCTCTCATAGACCTGTTGAGTCGCAGTCCCCTAGCTCTGATATCATAAATCACGGTGAATTTACTTATGAAAATATTTGTGAAATATACCTGAAATGTAAAATTTGCCGGTTTCTATATATCGGTTTTAAAATGCTGGCCTTATAATGCATCCCACCTTTTATTTCTTCACGAAGCAAAGAAAAAAGTAAAGATACTTAGAATCAATCAGGTTCCATGTAAAATGTCTCTATTTACTTTTATTACTGTAATTACATGAGATTTATGGAATGATCACAAAAGATTCAGAATCTGATTACTTCTTGGGGATGTGTCATTAGATCATGGAGGTTTTAACTTTTTTTGGTAAGTAAACAAGCTGTAATTCAAGACTGAAAGAGGGGGATATTATCCAATGTTAGATCTTAGATGGTCTGTCCTTTATATATTAGACCAATATGGTACTATTAGGCCAATATACAGTATTATGATTGTCTGTTTAGGATCCATTAATCAAATGTTAAGGCTGATATAACTTAATATGGTTTGAAAATAGCAGTCTACAGAAATAAAACATTCAATATGCAATAACATGACATGGTTTCTGTTGATTTCAGAATTAGTATGACTTGCCATGTTCAATTAATGAAACCCTTGAAAAGATCAAAATAGAAATGTTCAAAAGAGCAAGTGGAGTAGCAAAACTTGTTAAAAATATTCCCCATACTTAAAAAAAACTACCCTAGAAAGATCACTGATACATATCTTTCATACAAAAAATTACAATATCATATAACACCATCAGTTATTTTACAGTTCCAACTAGAGTTCAAATACAAAAATCTGAAAAATAAAATCTGTATCAATAAAAATGTGAATGATTGTATCCACATAACATTCAAACATGCAGTGAATTTAATGAGGCATCGGACATGTTTCAGCAAGAGAATCCCACTTACTTGCAGGTGTGTATATTATGTCTTGTGGGTTTGGTGGGATGACCTTGGCTATATCGAATTTCAGAGCCATTTAATCTAATGGGTGATGCATGTCTTGCTTCAATGGATTTGATATCAGAATCCAAACTGTTAACACCATCTACAAAGAAGAATTGTTATAATAAGAGCTCTATTTTTTTCATGGTTTTATTTCATTACTATTATGTAAATTAAATCGGATGTTGGCATAGATTTTTATTCTCATTGCATCAAAGAGTGAAGTTATTTTTCTTTCTCACCCAGGAGTTCCAGAAGGTTTTGGAAAATGTCGTGACACTTTTTGTTGCACCGAATATTAATCGTTTGGCATTTGAAATTATTGATATTAGAATGTAGCATAAATGCCTATCATTTTTTGTAAAATTCAGTAAAATTGATTGGTTACACATCAGAAATTATTTTAAAATGCCACATTTGATGATTTTAGGTAATTTCTTTAATTGAATAATTCAAATGATATTGAAATAGGTCCACTAATAATTTGTAAGAAATTCAAATATTTTTACATCAAACTATGCTTTACAGTAGAACCTGCTAAGTGAAACATTTCTGTAAGTGGAACACCTCAAAAGTAGAACGCATTTTCAAAGTCCCATTTTTAATTTTCAAAAATCATTTGAATAACCTCCTACAGTTATTTCTTGGCAGGAAACAACAGAGCAACTTAATTAATTAAAATCATATAATTGATCCAATGGTATGCCATTTGAGTTTTAGACAGATTCAACCAACACTTTTTGGTAATGCCGTGGTCATATTTGCTCCGATTTTTACAACGATGCCAATTTTGAAAAGATGAAGATGTGGAATTGTAACCCCTCAAACTCAGCTATTCCCTTGTCTATTCTCTAAAATTGATCATACATACAGCTGTGTTCTCTGCTTGTGTTGAACAGACACAAACCAAAAGTAAAACCATGCCTGTTTCCACATTTATGTCAAAACTGCAATTCGACAGGAAATCTCAGTCATTCCACGAGAAGATACCTTAATAAAAACATCTTTAATGGGGCATTCTCTCATTGGCTCTTAGTTATTGACCAATGCAAAAGATTGTTGGATAATTAACTAAATTTTGATAGTTAGGGGGAGGGTATTATTGTCCAAAATAGTTAAGCTCTGCCAACATTCATTATTGAATTCTCGAGAATTGGATATCAACGGAGACACAGCATATCGACGAATTAATCTTCTTGTGTGCTCTCACTACTGGTTTACGAACAACATTGATATTCGTGTATGATGATACCCCTATATAATATCCCTTGCTGTTTATTTCTGACTTGATTGCAAATATCAATACTGTCTTTTTGATTTGCCTGCATTTCGTAATAGGTAATGAGATTTCCCACCAGGTACCAAGAAAAGAGCAAAAAGCCTCCTTACATGGTCGCATGTTTTCAACAAGAACTCATCCACATTTTGGCACAACCAATGGTGTTCCACTTACACAGGTTTCACTGTTTATGGTTTTGAGGATAAACAATGGGAAAATATGAAATGAGAATACCTTTTTTATTGAGCAAATGTTTTAGCTTTTGAGTAATCGTGTCAAGTTGAGTCACCTCTTCTCCGCTACTAGCCTCACTTTCATTCTCCATGGTTTCTGGCACATTATGGGCTATATTTAGAAGAAATACAACAGGTTTACATAAGATCCCCAAAAAGTGAACAATGAAAGCCAATTTAAAGGGATATTCTTTGCCAGCTAATTTCCCTCCTTATATGGCAGCCATAACTATACCATTTTATCCATATTTAGCGAAACATGGGAAAATGTTTTGATATGGTAAAAACTAATCATTTGAAAATTCAGAGCTTATTTCCAGGAGGCTGCAAATTTTAAGATTTCAAACAGGAACCAATGTCATTGACTATTATAGGAACGTAAAAATCATTTTATCTTTATTCTAAAACCCTTGAAAATAATAAATATCCTAGGTGTCATAAATAAAGAAATCAAGAAAATTTGTTGTGGTTTAAAAAACGAAAAAGAACAATTATAAAGAATAAACAAAAAACAGATGTCATCAACAGATTTTGAAGCCACTCTCTCAGGGTCTCAACTGGATAAAATAGTCCAGCATGCAACCTTAGATATACAAAGAAATGCACTGATTAATTTGAGAATTTGAAAATATAAATGTTTTAAGAAAAAACTCATAACACTACGATTATATCTTATAAAACGATTAATTAATTACTACCAATAATATTAAAATGCATGTCTGAGCAAGTATTTTAATCTAAATTAATGATATTTTTTTCATTTTGAGCATGACTTCCTGTCAAAAATATATGGCCCAGCTTGGATCTTTAATTAAACAATGATATATATATCTACAGATCGGCTGTTCAGGAGACTATTACCTGGAAACAAGCTTGAAATCTCTAATTTCTCTCTCAAGTGCTTGAAAGTGACTTTTATAAATTTGCTCATTACAAGCAATAAATCACATCTACAGTACAATTGGTCAGGGCATCGCTCTCTGTATGAAATCTTAAAATATGGCAGACTAAGTGTCGTTTGGTATGGACCAGTATAATTTGAACTTACACGTAGGATTAGCAAAGACAAGTGTAGTTTGGTACGGACCAGTATAGTTTGAATTTACATGTAGGATTAGCCAAGACTAAGTATAGTTTGGTATGGACCAGTATAGTTTGAACTTACATGTAGGCTTAGCCAAGACTAAGTGTAGTTTGGTATGGACCAGTAGTTTGAACTTATATGTACGATTAGCAAAGATTAAGTGTAGTTTGGTATGGACCAGTATAGTTTGAATTTACATGTAGGATTAGCCAAGACTAAGTATAGTTTGGTATGGACCAGTATAGTTTGAACTTACATGTAGGCTTAGCCAAGACTAAGTGTAGTTTGGTATGGACCAGTAGTTTGAACTTATATGTACGATTAGCAAAGATTAAGTGTAGTTTGGTATGGACCAGTATAGTTTGAATTTACATGTAGGATTAGCCAAGACTAAGTATAGTTTGGTATGGACCAGTATAGTTTGAACTTACATGTAGGCTTAGCCAAGACTAAGTGTAGTTTGGTATGGACCAGTAGTTTGAACTTATATGTACGATTAGCAAAGATTAAGTGTAGTTTGGTATGGACCAGTATAGTTTGAACTTACATGTAGGATTAGCCAAGACTAAGTGTAGTTTGATGTGGAGTAAAACAGTTAGAACTTACATGTAGGCTTAGCCAAGACTGAATGTAGTTTGTTATGAACTAGCATCGATTTAACAGTGTCAACATCACTGTCAACAGCCTGTTTGTCAAAGCTTGTAATTGGCACACCAGCAACCTAGAAATATCAGTTAAAAAATATATAACACTCAATTCCATAACTAATATGAGGAAAGTTTATATTATGATCCCAATCCCACATATGAATGAATATTTAATTTCTTTCAAAAATAATATGCTTCTATTATTATTTCAATATTTACAAATCAGTTCACTGAACTAGGAAATAAACATAATTTTTCCATTTTGACAGCATATTTTACAGTGACGAAAACATTAATTTTTTGTATTTATCTACTGGCAGATCCAGAAGCTAACAAGAGGGGGCCCATCTTTTATACTTCAGAATCCTCTGTAGTATCTTCATTTCAGTGAGAGACTGTCTTTGTTCTCTTAGCGAGGAAATCGATTTGTATATATAATTATCCAAAAATTACTGTCTGTTAAGTATTTCTTAGATGTTATATTTCGAAACCATACATGCCAAATATTCAGTTGAAAATAGGATAAAGGTGATATAATCGAGAAAACAAAAATTCTTAAAAAATTTGTCCATCAAAAGATTGGCCATGCTGAATCCCATGCTTGATCCCCAGTGCATGTGACTTCTAGTTACATTATAATAATGGATATCTAGCCCAGCAGCACCATTGATCCTTTTACAGACTCTAGGTCCTCTTTTTACTACCTGTTGCTTTGGGTGACATGGCTATGTCTGATAATCCCAACTATACTATGGCGGGACTTCATTGAAAGTGTAGCTTATGGAGGTCAGAACACAAAATGACACCTGATATAAAGTCTCAAGACATAAGTTGCCCACTAAAATTTAGAATTCTCCATTGATCTGTTGAGACTGAAGGACACAGGCTTCTTAAACGGATAAAAGAATTCTTCTCTTTGGCTCTTTTTCAGGAATTGTGTTACAAACAAAAACTGTTGCCAATCAGGATCTAGTATTTAGCTAGATTTCATATCAAGATAGAACTACCTGTTTCACCATTAATCCATGGAAATCTCGCTCAAAATCCTCCGTTTTTACTGAATCAGGATCACTTATGTTCCCAGATTTATTCTTCTTTTTTCTTCCCCGAACATGTTCAGGTATGGCAGTACGCTTCAACTTTTTCTGCTGTTTTACATATTTTTCTGCAATAAAAATGAATTAATATAATTAAATGCAAAAATAGGATGATATCTGGATTTTAAGCAGAATCCCTGAATTATTTCATACATAAAAATATAATTGACTTGATTGATTTGACTGAATTGCTTGGCTTCAAGACTTAGATATACATGTATTTTAATTAAGAAATATAGACCGAAAAGCAGGGGTAAAATTGTCTAATACACTCCACAGGGCTAGGCACAAACGTTTTCTGTATCCTGAACTTCCGAAGGGAGTGAGGGGTTCGAAAGCTTTTGTGCCTAGCTGTAAGGGCTCCTATGTTCGTAGACATCAGCATATAAAATTTAATCCAAATCTGTTAACTGGTACTTGAGTTATGAAGGATTACAATTTTAATGAAAAATGACAGAGATTTCGATAAATAGCTAAATCAGTCTACTGGTAACTGAGTTATCAAAGATTACATTTTTATGAAAAATGGTGGCCATTTTGAAATGCCTTAGAAAGGTCCATGTGCAGTATTTCAAGTGATTTTAGACGGTCATATCTTTCACCATGGGTACTTTCTGGCCATCAATAGAGTAGTTTTTATTAAAACAATATATTTTCTTTCAAGTGAAGTCCCCATGGAAGTAAAATATCAATCCAACTCTCTGAAAAATTATGGATTAGGACCACACATTGGCACTTTTTTAAAAATGATAGGCTCATTTTCTAAAAAGAGGATCTTGTTTTTCTCAATTTGAACATATCGAAAGTTTCTTCTACACGTTATTAACAATTTCTTAAAAGGGGATGTGTATTGAAATGCGTTAAAGTTAAAAACCACATATGCCATGTTATTTTCCCGTAGGGAAAACTTGTGTAATCCATTGTTTTCAGCATAGTTTTGGTCATCGAAAATTGATATCTTCAAAACTAGACTTTCAATACCATTCTACTTTTGAAGAAGTTTTAGACCCTTGTTGAACAATCGTTTCATGCAATAAAAACTAGAAAAAGAAGATCCTCTTTTGAGTAAATAGGTTCAACATTTTGAAAAGAATGTTGACATGGGGTCCCTATTAATAATTTTTTGAATTGTTCGATTGATATTTTTATCATTATGGGTACTTCATCTGAAAGAAAACATATTGTTTTAATAAAAACCACTGTGTTTATGCCCAGAAAGTACTCATGGTTAAAGATATGACTATCTAAAACCATTTGCCATACTGCACATGGACCTTTCTTCTAAAGCAGATCACCTTTTTCCCTTGGCATCAGCATATAAAATTGGAACCAAATCCATCCTTTGGTATTTGAGTTATCAATGATTACGTTTTTTTATGAAAAATGGTTTTGAAATTCAGTGGCCATCTTGAAAATGACTTCTTGAGCAGAACTTCATTGTCTCTAGGCATCAGCATATAGAATTTGAACCAAACCCGTCAACTGGTATTTGAGTTATCAAAGAAAACGTTTTTTTTCGAAAAATGGTGGCCATTTTGAAAATGAGCTGCCAACCGGTATTTGAGTTATTGCTTGGACAGATGGAAGGATGGCTTTCCTAAATATCCCCCTCAGACTTCATTCGGTGGGATGATTACAAAGGTTTAAGCATCATTCATAATGTGTCTCTATGATAGACTGTTTAAGATGTCTATTGGGTTCCAATATATTGGACATATAACTAAAATCACTATTAACCTGTTATATATTACCAACATGCACCTCTTTTAACATTATTCATTCAAATACCTATATAAATATAATAATGCCACTTTGAGATTAATTTTTTTACTTGAATGCTGCATCCCATGCAAAATCTATGCCTAAAAATTGTACAAAATTAGGAGTCCCATAATTGCTCAATATATCGATAATAGATATATTGTATTGTTTGCTGCGGTACGAACACATTGATACAGAGTATCAAATATCGATACATCAAAATAATGTAAAAATACATGGTACCTCGAGAAACTATAAATTCTCATCAGTATTTACTCGTGTCTTCTATAATCTCGTAATTCAATGTAAAAGCCCTTCTGCAATATACTTTTTGGATACCACTTTGGACACTCCCCAATTAAAACCAAAAGGGAAAACACAGAAGGACTTTTAAAAAACAATTTGCAAAATATGCAGAGCTGAATTCAACAGGTAGGCTTGATAGTTTCACTATTCTCTCTTGCATATGATTTGCGACTCCTAATACATCACCCAACTTGTATATTCTTTTGTATTACATAAGTGAAAAAACGACAAGAGAAATATCCCCTACTTTAATGTATGTACATGTACCTGTATTTTTATTATTATTGTTTCGAAGTAGACATTCTTTGAATTTCTGCTCAAAATCTTCAGTTTGGATGGACTCTAGATCAAAATCTGTTTTCTGAGATCGTGGTGTGATGCCACCTATTAGTTACAAACAAAATAAAACAAATTAAATCAAAACACAAATCCAACAAAGCATAAAAATTAAAACGATACTAGTACCTTGAATCAAGAATACAAGATTTAATTCAAGCAAACCTCAACACAATACTATAGTAACTCTGTAAATGTATTACTACATGATATCACAAAACATTAAAGTCAAAAGGTTACTATCAGGAATACAAAATTTGGTTCCCAAACTTTTGTCAAACGGAACTGGACGATGTGCTTTTGCTGCCAAGTTTGTAAATACTCATTTACTTCAACATTTTGACAGAATATGAGCCTTTCTATCTCACAGAAACAACACCCATGCTGCGTTTCTGAACACAATATAAAACTTCTCAACTCATCTAGAAAGCACGACAATTTCTTGAAAAAATTGTTTTTTTTTAATAAAATCATTATAACTCATCCAGGCACTTCAGTTTCCAAAATAAATGGAAGAATTTAGAGAAATTAATTTTAATTGGACAATGTACGTCATCCAGTTCCATTTTTACATCATCCAGTTCCATTTGTAGGATGTGTTGAGAATGTGTTAAAGTATACAAATCATGTTTGCTTGTCACAGAATTGTATGGTATTATTATTGTATTATTAAAATAAACAAATTGTTTTCCCCAGAAGTTTTTATTATAAATTTTTACATTTAATAATGGAAATGAAAACAGTGATTATAACAATATTTCACTACTTCTTTGTGGTGGCATAAAAAGTTGCGAATGTGGTGCAATAAGCCGATACTGTTAGAGTTATAGATTGATCGAGCCATGTTATGTTAATAATCAATTCCTTATTAATTTAATCATAAATCAATTTTATATTCTAAACTTTAAAAATCATGAGAACATGCACTGCAAAATTCACTGGCACCTTGTAATTGGGTGTGATGGATGCAAGTTTTCTGAAATTTATTCTCATAATCTTCCGTCACAATAGATTCAGAGTCAAAATCTGTAAATATTGTGTGAGAGACATCTAACATGAAACGGAGAATAACAAAGCAACATTTTGAAATACTATAAATCCTCCAAAGGATCCAGAAAGGAATGAAGATATTCTCAAAAAATTGAAGTCCGTCTAAACAGTATTTGTTAAGTTATTGAGGTTTTAGAGGAGGAGGGAAAGTATAGCAACAGATTTTGGACAGGCTTGTGTTGGTTTTAGGCTTTTTTCTGAGGATTTAAACAGGTGCATATGTTACATCAATGCATTACCTCCAGGAAAATCACTCCTAGAGATGATAAAATAATTTCGTCTTCGAGACAGGGAAGATGCAAACAACCAACCCATGTGTTTTTTTTAATTGTTTTCCTGATTTTCACCCCCTTCCACCCCTAATTTTTCTTGCATCAATATGTTGTGTTTTGACACACAGTTAATCCCTTTAAAGGAATATGTGATTCCTTTAAGATAAAGTGGAAAACAATATTTCCCATGTTATTTTTCCCATAGGGAAAACTCATGCGATCCATTGCTTCGCTAATTTTGGTCACCCATAATGGATATCTTTAAAACCCCCGAAGGAATCACTTATTCTTTTAAAGGGGATAACTGTGTGTCAAAACGCAACATATTGATGAAACAAAAATTAAAAAGCAAGGAAGGGGTTGAAAATCAGAACAACATTTCAGAAAAAAAACATGTGGGTGGGTTATTTGCATCTTCCCTCTCTCAAAGTCGAAATTATTTTATCATCTCTATGAGTGCTTTTCCAGGAGGTAATGCATTGATCTAACATGCACCTGTTTAAATCCTCAGAGAATGGCCAAAATCCAACATATGACTGTCCGAAATCTGTTGCGATGCTTTCTCACCTTCTTTGTTACAGACCCCAAATGCCAGATGTGCCATAATCGTACATCGATGCATCGGCAATTTTCAGTAGTAAACATCGATGCACATTGCGATGTACACGGGGATGTACATCGAGAAAAAGTTCGAGAAAAGTGCACTGAAATACCGAACGCTAATGCACTAAAATATCGAACAGAATAAATTAATAAGAGTACGCTGGTACATCTGGGAACATAGTAACGGTGAAATGAAAGTAAAGTAATTTTTCTTTGGTTAATGGTTCATTTCGACTAGCTAAAACAGTTTTAAAGCGAAAGAATATCAGAAAACATTTGAAAATGAAATAAGACATGAAAAAAGGTAAGCAATTTGCGTCAAAATAAGATAAGAAAGGGCGATTTTTAGCAAATTAAAATTTTTTAAAAACATCGATGTTTTGTTTCAGACATCGATGCATCGCCAGAACCAGCTTTGGCGATGTATATCGCGATGTTTATTGCGATGTATCGATTAATCGCGACAACACTACCGAAATCTATTGCGATGCTTTCTCACCTTCTTTGTTACAGACCCCAAATGCCACCCGCCGATCACCAACCGCAAACCACCAACCGCCACCACAAAAAACGGAGATTATAACAATATGTCACCACTTCTTGGTGGTGACATAACAAAAACGGGAATGAACTGCAACATAAAAATTTTGCTTTAAATGTCAGTCAAGGTCATGCCCTATTCCACACCCTCTAAAATTAGGATGAACTGCCTAATTTCAAACATTACTCTACATTAGAAGCTTTCACTTCATGCCTATTGCTTTGTTCCTTGCTAATTCCACTCTTTTTTGATTTTTAAAGTATGACCACAATGACATTTCAGCAAAATAGACAGTAGGTGTATCAAACTCAACAAAAAAAACAAATGGAAACATTCAATAATTCACACAAAAACTATGATAAAGGGAATGATAATATATCAGGAGAAAAAGTACCTTTGACTTTTGGTATAAGCTCTTGACGAAATTTCCTACCAAAATCTTCTGTTTTTATAGACTCTGTTTCTGCCTTCCGGAGAAGTCTCCTTGCAAGTGGAGATAGTTCTACAACAAAATGAGATGGTTTGATCAAGGCTTTTAAATTTATTAGTTTGCAAAAACACATGGCATGTTGAGTGGTGAATCAAGAAAATGTGAGGAGCAAGGTGGAATCGCAAATCTGAACAAAGAAATTATTCATAGGAAAGTTATACATCACACTGATGTTTTAAATTCTGTCATGTTGTATCTGTATTTTACAACTCTCTCATATTTTTGTATTTTACATCTTGTGATGCTGTAATTGTATTTTACAACTTTGTATATTTCCTATGAAGTAGTTAGTTTAGTCTTAGTTTAATTTTGTATATTGTAGTTTGTAGTGACTAATATGTCATTGCAATGACATCAGAGAGTCAATAAAAGATATATATATATACATCGTTGAGATCTGAAAAAGCCTAAAAAACATGTACAAAATGTGAAATGGATATTTTTCTGACTAATGTGCCAGTAATACCAAAAAACACGTGTGAGCTTTTATAGAATTTATTATATAAATATAAAATATTTTACATAACTTTTTTGGCATGGGAAGACGGCTATTACGTAACCATGAGATAATGTTACAAAATGAAAGCGCATAATCCTGATTATGCAGCCTTATATAATCATTAATCTTTGGTCCCAAACCTCAGAGATCTAAATAAATAAAATTCTGTTTTCTTGACCCATATACATCCCATGGGGGTCGGTTGGGCTGCAAAATTTCAAATATTACAGGGTGTTCTGAGAACATGTAGATGATTTTGAAAAAAAGTGGTCAATTTGAAGCAAGATGAAAAAATACCTTTTGGACCTTTTTTGACCTTGAAAAGGTCATTGAAGGTCAAATCTCAAATCTAAAGTCAGATTTGAACTTCTGATAACTAGTAGATGATTTTGAAAAAAAAATTGGTCAATTCAAAGCAAGTTGAAAAAATACCTTTTTGACCTTTTTTGACCTTGAAAAGGTCATTGAAGGTCAAATCTTGAATATAAAGTCAGATTTGAACTTCTGAAAACATGTAGATGATTTTGAAAAAAATTGAAGTCAGTCTAAACAGTATTTGTTAAGTTTTTGAAAGTTTTAAGAATTTGTTACAGGCGCCAATCACCAAAAAAAAAAAACGGAGACCATAACAATATGTCACCACTTTTTGGAGGTGACATAACAATATGTCACCACATTTTGGAGGTGACATAATAAGCCTTAAAATAATATATGACACATACTATGGAGACTTTGGTATATGTTTGCCTAGGGGTGTCCCATACTTGAGGGACACTTTGTAATACTTATTACTTTGGATATGGAAAAAACTAAAAATTCCTGCCATCTTTAAAGTAGCAGCAATATTAATCTTTCTAGCAAATATGAAGAAAATCAAGACATGCCTTCTCTATTCTATGGTATGATTAGGGTGTGTACAAGTACCTGTGGCGTGAGTATTATGTGCTAATATGTGTGAGATCATTGATGCTCTGTAGGCTTTCTCCAAGTCCTCTGTAGGAATGGAGTCAATATCACTGTCTTTCCTCTTTAGTCTAAGGTTAGCATGTAGTTTATCTACAGACACAAAGGGGTTAATTCAAACACAAGAGTTGGAAAGCATAAAGGGATTAATTAACATTAGATAAATGCTTGTCATGTCATATCCAAGGTTTTCTAGAATTTCTGACCAAAGGTTTCCTGCTGATAATGAAAGCCCCATGCAATATCTTATTCAGTTGTGCTTTTATTGTTGTAAATACAAGGTGAGCCAAAAAAGTAACTAAAACAAATGCTAATAACTCAGTCAACTAGCATGGGTTTAAAATTATATTTGGAACAATTGAACCTTGACCAATGTTCTTTCATTCCACTAAGTCATTTCTCAATGGTCGCAATCTCATGGCCATTTAACAAAACATGCTTCAAATGCAGAACATGCCAAACTTACCTGATATGAATGAACCCCAGATTTTTACTTTGTGGCTATTTCAAAGATAATGGAGAGTTTAAGCTTGTATGTAAATCAAAACAGCAACTTATACATATAAATCGCCCATATACAAATACTGTACATGTAGCTTCTTCACTTAAAAAGACTACTCCGCAGAATGTGATATGCAACATCTACTACGTCATTGGTAGTTCTATAGCTGGTTTTCTGATATATATTTTAACAAGCTCATTTGGTAAGATGTCAGAACTAGACAACAGCAATGCCAAAGCGTAGCAAATCCCAACGAACAGCCATGGCTGGCATTTTCAAATTTGGCGCCTACTCCCTATAGTGTCATTAGACAATGTGCCATGCTTATAGTATTCACATATCAAATATGAACAAAATCGCTGTACTACTTTTCGAGTTATAGTAAAAAACGTAAAAATGGTGGCCGTTTTTCAAAATGGCAACCTACTACCAAAAGTGTAATTTGACACTGGCCATGCTTATAGTATTCACATACCAAATATGAACAAAATCGCTCCACTACTTTTAGAGTTACAGCAAATATCACAAAATGTGCGGAAAGGCCGCCATTTTTCCAGATGGCTGCCATGAGCTTCTTTAATATCTACATTTCTAGCTTTATAAATGTCCTATATAATTTTTTACATTTAATCAAATTCCTATTACAGGTTCACATATTGTACCTAAATTACTGTAAAATCGGCACTAAAATGGCCACCATTTTGAAACGAGTGGCCATTTTGAAAATCTGCTTTCAAGCAGAACTTCTACCCCCATAGAGCATATGTGAACAAAATATGAACAAAATTGGGCCAACTGTATTTGAATTATTGCCCGGACAGACGGACGGACGGCATTCCCTATATACCTCCGAACTTCGTTCGATGGGATAATTAAACATACATGACAAGCGTCATCTTCTTCAGAAAGAATTTTACTTTGTAAAGAAATCAAGATTACAAGCACAGTATTGCAATAGACACAACTTTAATGATTCCTGTTGACACCAATGCGAAATTTTGAATTTTGCTTTCTAAACACGGAACTCTGAAGCTGAATGGGTATCTGAAGTAGACTAATTAGCGCTTGTTCTGTATGTGAGCTATACATTACTACACTGTTGCTCATAAATATGGAATATTAGATTTGGCAGATCAGAATTCAAGTTTTGGATGAAGACAACATTTATTTGGAGTCATTTAAGCAACTTATTTTCTAGGCTAATCATAAACATATATTTAATCTATAAAAAAACAGTTACGTTGTGAAGAAAGCAAGCTTAAACTATCCAATGTCTACACTAACAACCATTAAAGCATCAGAGAGTTGAAACAAGAGATTAGAAGGAAGACATATCTGTGAATGTGTAGTAAGGACAACTTCACCTGATGCATTCAAGTTTGCCTCCAGAGTCGAGACCAGCATTTTGAGCATGTTTTGTAAAATGGCCATAACTACAAACTATAGGTACACATATATTACTTTGATGTAAGAAGAATTCTATCTCTACCAGTCATTAAGCAAAGTATCATAGCAGCATTGATGTGTCAATGTCAAACCATTTCCCTCCAGATATGGTAGTCAAAATCATATAATACTTTCCATGTTTAGCAAAACACAGAAAAATGTTTCCATATATGGTCAATATTGATCACTTAAAAACGTGGTGCTCAATTCCAGTAGGAATTGTCTATTTTCATTTAATCCTTCTAAAAATCTCTTTTTATTCCAAGTTGACAAGCCCCGATAATATCTTTGCACAGAAAGTTTGGACCACTTGTCTAGAAGAAATTCTGTGCTTTCCTATACTGTTATAGGCAAAGTTATAAGTTGAGAGTCAATGGCATGAGTTCCTGTATGAAATCTTAAAAGATGGCACTGGAAATCAGCACTACATCTTTAAAAAATGATCAATATTGACTGTTTTATAACATTTTTTCGTGTTTTGCTAAATATGTAAAGTATATATATGATTATAGATACCATATCAGGAGGGATGGTCAAGCAAGGAATGTCCTTATAATAACATATTGAGATAGATGAGGCCATTTCCTGTAATGCTTGCATATGCCTCCAGTAAAAGAAGAAAAGAGGGAAAGAGGGAGGGAGTGGCCTAAAATGTGATGAGAGACATCAGTGTTTTAACACAGACCCGAAATACCAGTGTGGATGAGATTTAACAAAAAGTTGAACAATTTACCCCTATTTTTAATGGAAGGAAACATATGGTCTTTAAACTGCGCCTCAAAGTCCTCAGTTCGCACTGACTCTAGATCAACTGGAGTCTTAGCCTTGAAGTCCCTAAGGTAGCCACCTAAGTGAATAAAAGCATGCAGATTGAAGGTTAATTTAGTCATTGTGATTATAAACCATGCAAAATAAGTTATTTAAAATAAGCCATGCAGATGTAAACTATGTAATAAAATGTAATATGAAGTAATTAATATCATAGAACTCATTAGTAAGAGAAACGACTATAATATCACTTCAAAGAATATGATCCATAGCAAGAATAAAAGATGCATCAGTCAAGATCTAAAATTAAAAAGAGCAAATCATGCACACTCAGGCAAGACACAAACAAATCATTCATGCTTGCAATGTCAGGTCCCTGAGGGGCAATATTTCAAAAATTCAAAACAAAAGGCCTGGTTTGAATATGAATATACCTTGTTTTTTATTCATAATTTCAATGAATTTTTCCTCCAGCAGTTCAGCGGCCACAGAATCTAGATCACTGTGGTTTTCCTCCTCATCTTCCCCTTCTATAGTTTCATCTACAAATAAATAAATGTGCCTAAATGTGCCTTACTTCTCTCTACTATCATTATACAAACTAATTAAGTTTTAATTGTAAACAACGACAGAAAAATGCTCAAACATCATCCAAAATCAGAGGGTTTTAAAGAAAACAGCTTGTTTAGGATAATACATATTGACTCGTTTCATTAATAGTACAATAACATCAATATTTCACTATATTGCTCGCAGAAATTTTTTTTTTTTTTAAATAAATTTTATTTCATAAACATATATACAAGGCATGGATTACAATTTACAAAAATATGTGAGAGATCACTGTACAATATTAATATATATGGATGTTCTAAATCAAGAATATTTTAGATCATGTACACATATCCTTATATATTTGGATTTTGTAATTTTTCAGTAAAACATTTTAGTCTTTCTTTTAACCTTAATATTCTGTTGTTCTTTGAAATATTTAAACTTTCAATAAAAAATTTATTGCTCGCAGAAATGACGTTATTAGTATTATTACCACCGTTAACGACAAGGACTGAAACAGCAAGAAAATCTTACGCATTGAACGATATCTAATTTCCCAGGGAAAATTGCCGGTCCAGAATATATTCTAGACCGGTTCATATTGACTACCACTATGACGTCACACATTGCTCAGGTCGATATAGTAAAGCGAATGCCTTCTAAACTAGCACTAAAACCCCTAGAACTGGCCCGGCAAGGTGGTAATAATGGTGGATAATTATAAGTTAGTATCAGCATCTACTGGAGTTGATATTATCCTAATAGGCGAAGCTGTTTAAATTTCTCAAATTTTGGGGATGTTTGACATATTATGGTACATACTTAATGGTTTTATAATAGTACAGCCATCTTGGATTACCAAGGTATGAACTTTTCATACTTGAAAATCAAACGTGTAAGCGAGTCTGTAATACAGGGTGGTCAAAAAAACAGCAACCCTGTTTTTGCCCATATCTGCACATCATTCAATTTTGTATCCAGCTAATTTCATGAACATTGGACTGATAGTCTCAATTTTCAGTACTTTAAACAATGTGCCCCAGTTGGCCAACATAATGCTGTAGGCAAACCTGCACACATTTTCCGAAAGTTGTCAATGATCTAACTGCATTGCAAAGCAAGTATGGCCTGAATGACACATGTGATCTCACTTTGAGGTCTTATGATGTTCTGCCGTTATTCTCCTACACTCTATATTTGGGGTATCCCCACTGGTTAAAGATAAATGGGGGCTATATCTGGACTATGGGGCACCTATTAATTATCTGTTATCCTGCTGATAATGTGGTCATCGACATGGTCCCAAAGCCATTCCAGTACATCATTGGATGTATGGGACATGGCTCTGTCTTGTTGAACCACTGTTGCTGCCTATCCACCCCCCTCCCCCTGAGTTTACCTAAAGCCCCCTAGAACTTCCTGAGAATCACAACATAGCGTTTGATGTCGACAGTTATTGCATTTTCGTTGGCATCTTCAAAAGTAAAGAACCCTATCCCTATGTGCCAATTATACACTAATCTGGGCATTTCATGGCCATACAAAATGGTATAACTTTGGTTCATTTCAACATTGCACTTTTCTTTCTTAATCGTGAAATACTTTCAGCAAGTTCAAGAAAGGTCAGGTGCTGACTATCACCACAGTGATATATTCACAATCAAAGTTGAACTACCTGAACTACCATCTTATTATCGTACTGGGCTTTGTGTTTTTACAAATATAGTAAAAATCCTACCTTCACTGGGGTTCTCCGATGGTCCATCATTGCTTAGTCTCTTCTTATCTTTTGTTAGTGCTTTGATTTGTTGGCCGGCTTCATTGAGATCTTCTTCTTGCATCCTGGCCAGTCCTGTTTCTTTACCTTCTGTTTCAGTAGGACTTTTGGCATTCCCTGGTTGGAATGTTGGCCCTGTAATTTATTTAATATTTAAAGAATAAAGACCGGGATTTAATGATTTATGGCGTAAAATATGACCGAAATTTTTTGTTCTGTTCATTGTTAAAAGACCAAAATCGTATATCATTTCTTCACTCAAGTTGCCAGAGTATTTCATGAAAAAGTAGGGTGTGTGTCTATTAGAGAGAATACAATATCAGAAATTATATTCACTCTGAAAAAAAGTTGGCGATTTTGAATTTAGCAGTCATCTTGAAAATTCCTTCTTGAGCAAAAGGAGATTTCCTATAGTTCAAAGGTCATGTGGTAGACATGGTACGTCATATTTTTTTTATTTGATACATCTCGATAACATGAAAATTATTCAATGAATGTCTGCAAAATTACTGAAATTATAAAATAAAGCTTACTGCAGAAAGTTTATATTTGGTTTGAATCACAAAATTTGGCGTGTCATATATCCAGATTTAGTCCCTCTTCAAAAAGTTTTGAATTTCAAATTTTACTTAAGTTTTGCTGCCAATTTCGGGGTCTTCTACTAATTTCTACGGGTAAGCTGATTTGAAAAAATTATTATAGACAGAGGATCAATATTGATTAATAGTATAGTTTCTAAATAGCTGAATAAAGCTGACATAATAGATGTCACCCTTGTCATTCTTCGTTTTGCTTGGGCTAGACTGCCATAGCTGTCCATGTTATAAACTTGCAAAAGTCACTTTTAATGATTTATGATTATGGTTGAATCTGTCTGAAACTCAAATAAAATACTATGGTATGAATGTGCCTATTGTGATTAATCATGAAATTGCTGGTTGTCACACGAATAAACCAAGGTTAGAGAATTTCATCATCACATCAATACAAAAAAGTATATAGCAAAAATGGCCACCTTCTACCAAAAGTGTCATTAGACAGTGTGCCATGCTTATAGTATTCCCATACCAAATATGAAAATCACTCCACTACTTTTCGAGTTATAGTAAAATATGTTAAAATGGCATATTTTTCATAAGACAGTGTGCCATGCTTATATTATTCACATACAAAATATGAACAAAATCGCTCCACTACTTTTTGAGTTACAGCAAAAATCGTAAAATAGCGAGAAAAGGCCGCCATTTTTCAAGATGGCTGCCATCTGCTTCTTAAATACCTACATATCTAGCTTTATTAATGTACTATATAAATTTTTTACATTTAAAACATATTCCTATTACAGTTTTACATATTGTACCTAAATTACTATAAAATTTCGTTCAATGGGATAATTATTAAATGACATAACTGTATAAATCAAATCAAAGTTATTATTGTGGAAAACTTTTCACTGAATTCAAGTATGCTTTTAAAAAGAAAGAAAGGTTAGTTGTTAGAGGTTAAAAGTGCAAATCTCTTAAAATCTCATGAAAAAACAAGAATTAGCAAGATTTCAAAGCTATATGGAACTCCTCTATTGAATAAGACGTGATTTCTAGCTATTAAATTGGTGCTTGTAAAGCATTATTTTTCTTTTTGATCTTCAATCCTATGTTCATTAGCTATCAACCTAATTAATTTACTTGTTTACTTGATTTGTACATAATACAACAACAGACTGCATGGTCATTTTCTACAAAAGTTGTTCATTTATCAAAGACCTGAAAATGCCAAAAAAGATTAAATCATGAGGTTATTAATAAAAAAAAACATATGAAATAAAAATCAGAACTATAGCAAATAAATTGAACAAACATGAAAATGTAATGAGGACATGACAAACAGTACCTGCCCGTTTTCTCCAACTAGCAATTGTCCAATTCGAATAATCCATTTTACTGCCACATTAACTAGGAGTACCACAGGACTATATTTTATGAATATTCCAAGTATTATTAAATCCAAATACTTTCATGAGAATTCATTTAGTAATGTTTGATTCAAGTGACTCCTGACCACACATTTACGAGCTTCTAATGCCAAATTCAGGTATCTTCTGACTACACTTTTATGAGTATTCTGAGTAACATAAAATCCAGATACTTTCTGACTGTACTTTTATGAACTTATTACAAGTAACTTTAAATCCAGGTATCTTCTGACTACACTTTTATGAACTTATCTTAAGTTATGTTAAATCCAGGTTCTGACTAACTCAATATTAACAAGTATTTCTAACAGTATGTTATTTGAAAATGGTATATATACTGTATGCACCAATTTATAAATATTCATTTACAATTATTGACGTCCTATTACTGTTGTTGGAAAATATTTGAAAATACAGAAACATAATCCGAGTTTCAACATTTCAACTTCCTCAAAAGTATTTGATGTTCAAGCTAAGTTCAATGCAATAATTGATTTTATGTTCTTGCAGCTAAGAATTTATTTCCCAACTGTCAAAGAGCTTAAATCTAAATCTCAAAAGGGCAGCATGAACCTGCAAATACCTTACATTAAATCCTGCTACTATAATTGAAACATTCTTAAATATAAAATGCAAAATAATTTTCACTATTCTTTTATATTTAGGCAACACACTGCTTAATATATGTCTATATATAATTTCAACAAAATTCATCAGATTTCACGGTCCTCCTTTGTGTTTTCGGTAAATATCAAAGATGATCCGACATGATTTTTGAAAGGACTGTACATGTAATGTTATTTTGATCCTAGATTTTACATACAGTAATGAATAAAACACAGAACTAATATTTTTCCAATGGATTAAGCTTTCAATAAAATTACCCTTGTTCAAAATGACGTAAAAAACATGTGCATTCTCTAAAAACTAAATACATAAATTTTCATAAGTTTCTATATGATTTAATGTTTTAACACTTATCTATTTATTTTACTCCTTGCTTGTACTCCTATTTTTCACTCCTTTTTGCATTTTATAAGGTGGCCATTATGGCATTTCACATACTGGTTCACATTTATCCTCTATTGGATCAAAGTATAGTTTATTGAAATAACTAATGTTATTAAAGACAGCTAAAACTGGCATTCTTCTGTATAAATCTGGAATATAAAATTAATCATACATTTCTATATATTATGCTATTTCTGTATTTTCTGTGATTGCATATAACTATTACAGAAAGAATCATAATAAAACATACCTAACCTTAAATAGTTTAAAGCCCAATGCAAAGTGAATACTATTACCAAATATATAGACTCTAAAAAGTCATTACAGTAAAACCTGTGTACAGTAAACACCTATAGAGCCATAAAAATGTGTTCATTGTAGGTAGGTGTTCACTACAGAGAGGGGATTTTATACAGAAGTCAGTGAAGTATGTGGTGTGAAGAGGTGTTCACTAGACACAGGTGTTTACTAGAGAGAGGTGTTCACTAAAACAGGTTTTACTGAATATATTTCTTTTCAACTTAGAATGGCCTCAGCCAAGTTTCTTTTTGAATCTAGTATGGGTTAAATTATTGGAGACATTCAGTAGTATCTTTTAAACCTGTAGAGAAACAGAAAATCCAAACAATGTCAGTGCAATACAAGACCCATAACAAGAGGATTCCTAAGACAGTGGATTCATGGAAATATCTAGAACAAGGGGTTCTCTATATCAGGGGGATTCTGTTGCGGTAATCAAAATACATGCATATGTTCAACATTTTAGCAGCAAAGTGTAGGAACATGTCATTTTGGTGAGGAACTGGAGCATCACATTTTAGCATGAATTTCACACAATATCATCTGTCGTTGTATAGAGTTACACTAGAAAATGATGTTTCCAGTATAGGAATTCTGTGCAATTTTCTATATTTGATCAGAATTGCCTTCTTGGGAATTCTTTCATGAGCAAAGTCAAGAAATCAGTCCGGTATAAAATTTGAAAAACTTAATTCTTGAACAAAGTCCTTAATGTCCCCAGGCATCAGCATCTAAGATTATATTTTTTCCAAAAATGGTGGCCATTTTGAAATGAGCAGCCTTGAAGAAAGTGACGTCTCAAGTAGAGATCCTTTGCCCATGAGACATAGCCCATAAAGTTTGGACCAAATTCTATGATAGTATTTAGTAACAAAAAAATTACGACAACAGGTCCTATGAGTATGAGGCATATGCATATAAAATTAGAGCCAAATCCATCAACCAGTATTTGAGTTATTGTCCGGACACACGAAAGAACAAATGGATGGACTATTAGATGGATGGCTTCTCTAATACCCTACTGTAGTTTGTTCAGTAGAATTAAGAGCAAACTAGTTTATACACCTGACCATTACAAACAGAGTGAGAACACAACCTTAATCATGTGATTTAAAACATATTCTTCAAAAAGTAATTTATCATATATTCCAATTCTGCCAATTAGTTATAATTTCGAACACTACTACTTAACAATGCATATACATGTACTAGTCTTATTTGGCAGTACTGAAAATCAGGCTGCATTTTGAACTGTACACAGAGAGAGTGAATTTTTTTATTCTATTTTACTATTTTTTTAACAGTGGAGCAGGTGAATTGCGTGTGTTTAATGAGTTTTCCCTGCAGTGTCACAATGATCAATGGAACTCCCATGGTGCACCAGTGACTATCCAGCGCGGGTATGCAATTGACTTGCTCCGTGGGCAGTTCAAAAACACAGCCTCAGTCAATCCCTCTGTTGACTCTTACCTGTTTCCAATCTCTTCAGCCACAACCAGTTGTCCATCTTCAATAAGTTGATCTTATTCTTTCCTCATATATCCTTACTGATTTAAACCTTAATGTTCCTATTGTTCAGCATTATACAGAAGTTCCAAACTTCTGTCTTTAATACTCTAAATAAAACAACTCAGCTTACTGACTTGATGGTTGACTCAGGAAATGGTTTTCCAAAATTCAAATCCAAACAACCGTTGTTTTATGACTTAATCGTCTAAACTCAAAAGTATGTGTGCTTTAGTAACAGAGTCATAGATTAACACACAGTGAAAATTTAAGATCTATTAAAACAATGTAAATAATAGCATTAGAACTTAAAATATTTTCTCCACACACTTTTTTAAGGCTTTAT